AAAAAAAAAAAAGCATGAATTCCTAAATTAGCGCTACTGGGGCAGCGAGTTTGCACTCGGGAGCATTGGTAACAAGTTCCACAGTGTGTATCTGTGGCTGGCTCAGGGTGCAATGGCTAAGATTCCAATGTTTCACCAGGGAAGGCCGACAGGGGGCGCTACGGGAGAGCTAGTCCCCGCTCTAGGATGGCTTTCTTGGGTTGTGGGATTTGTAGTTTTTCTTGACTCATTTTGGTTTCATGAACTACACTTCCCAAAATGCATAGGTGGCAGGATCGTCCCACTACCGATTGTCGAGCGTCCCCTAAACTGGGAAAGGTAAGTGTATTCGGTGTAGGCTGCAGGTTTCTAAAACTTGTTTATTTCTTGTAAGGAGATTGCATTTCTCCTCCTTGCCGGTAGTAGGACCTGGAAAAGAAGAGCTGTTCCCACGGAACGTATTTTCAGCAGGATTTCCCTGACCTTTGATCTGAGGAAATCTGATTGTGTAGTATTTGTGTAGCCCTCCACGTTGCTGTGGAGTGTCAAGGAAAAGCTAGGTTCTGAATTCAGGTCTGAAAAGCCAAGCATAAAATACTGTTTGCCTGTGGGGTGTGTGTCAGCAGAAAATGTCTGCATTATATCAAAGAATATGTCAGCACCTTGTTTGTACAGCTAGAAAAGCTGACTCTTGTGGATCTTGTACCCCCTTCCCCGAGCTGTGTGCAGTTTGTATGGGAGAATGCCCAAATAGTAGGGGACAAATGAAAATATGTGCACGTGGTTACTTACAATCAATAAAACAAGCCTGAAGGGTCTGACATATTGTGTTAGACTTCACGTGAGGAGTTCTTTCCTACCTACCATGCTGAAGGCCGTGGGTTCAATTCCAGCGTGCTGTGGATCTCAGTGAACCTGACATAAATGTGCTTCTCTTAGCTTGTGGAGAAGTAAGATAATTCTGATATTTATTTATTTATTTACTTATTTATTTATATTTGGGGCTTGCTATGTAGTTTAGGCTGTCTTTGAATTCACTATGTAGCCTAGGCTGGCACGAAGTCATGACAACTCCCTTGCCTCAATCACCTTTGCTTGCAAAACCCAGATTCTCACTTGAGGTGTTTTGTTTGTTTGTTTTATATAGAATGAGGCTGAGCTATGGGCTGAGTTTCAGGTCAACAAAAGGCCGCTGGATCACGAACCTCAGCCAGCAGTGCGGGCGTGGTTCCAGTGGGTTATTTGTGCCACCAAGCCCTCCTTTGAATCCTGAGAAAGTGAAAGAGTTCCAGCGCTTCATCACCCTTTCCAAGAAACTCCTAGTGGTGACTGGGGCGGGAATCTCCACGGAGTCGGGGATCCCGGACTACAGGTCAGAAAAGGTGGGACTTTATGCCCGCACCTCCCGGAGGCCCATCCAGCACAGCGATTTCATCCGCAGTGCCCCCATCCGCCAGCGGTACTGGGCTCGGAACTTCGTGGGCTGGCCTCAGTTCTCCTCCCACCTGCCCAACGCAGCACACTGGGCTCTGAGCACTTGGGAGAGACTTGGGAAGCTGCATTGGTTGGTGACACAGAACGTGGACGCTCTGCACACCAAGGCGGGGAGTCGGCGGCTGACGGAGCTCCACGGGTGCATGCACAGGTGGGTAAGGCACAGGCTGACCACAAAACTGTGCATTCCCTGAGGGCAGGGGCCCTGGATTGTCTTAATCGCATCTTTGTGTGTGTGTGTGTGTGTGTGTGTGGCCAGTTCAGCCCGGTGGAGGCGGGGCTGGCCGGTATGTGGTGCTGGGGATTGAACCGCGGTCCCTGTGCTTTGGCTCAGCTTGTTCTAAGTAGGTGCTTTTTCTTTAATTTTTTTTATTTGTGTGTGTGTGTGTGTGTGGCCAGCTCAGCCCACCAGGGGGCGGGGCTGGCATGTGGTGCTGGGGGATTGAACCGTGGTGCCTTGTGCTTTAGCTAAGCTTGTTCTAAGTAGGTGCTTTAGACCACTGAGCCATCTCATCAGCCCCCTTAATTGCATCTAGAGAAAGGTTTTGGGAGCAAGTCTTTTTGAGACAGAGTCTTGCTATGTAGTTCAGGCTAGTTTGAGCTCAGTTTGTAGCCTGGGTTGGTCCTGAACTCACAATATTCCTCCTGCCTCAGCCTCTCGAATGCTGTGCGCCACCACACCTGGCCTGGGAGCAAGTCATTTTGGAGTGGATTCTACTAAGCTCAGAGAAGGGGTAGGATATACACAGGGGAGGAGGCTGAGGCAGGAAGATCACTGTGAACTTGAAGCCAGCCTGCCTACAAAGTGAATTCAAGACCGGCCAAGGGGCAGGGGGGATGGCTCAGTGGAATAAGAGCTTCCCTGGCAAGCACAAGGGCCTCAGTTCAATCCCCGGTTCTGCCAAAACAAACAAGCAGACCAGCCTAAACTACATAGACTCTGTCTCAAAAAGCAGAAACAGGACTGGCAAGATAGCTCAGGGAACTAAGCACCTGCTTAGGCAAGTACAGGGACCAAGATTTGATCCCTGGCACCACATATCACACTGGCCCCGCCCCTGAGAGCACTGAGCCAGCCAGACTGGGCATGGTGGTGTGCCTGTAATCCCAGCTCTTTGGGAGGTTGAACACAGGCGGATCACTATGAGTCTGAAAAAGATTGGGTAATTGAGGAAGTTTTATGGTTAAGGTGGGGCTTGATCCTGGCTTGAGTTTCACTAGACATGGAGGAAAGAGAGGGCTTGCTAAAGGAAGGGAGTGTGTGGAGCCCAGGGGAATCTGGCCTGGCCTCTAAGAGGGGTTGGGATGGTGCCCAGGGTGAAAACAGATTGTCGGGCTGGGGAGATGGCTCAGTGGAATAAGTGCTTCCCTTGCAAGTGCAAGGGCCTGAGTTCAATCCCCAGTTCCACCAAAAGTAAACAAATAAACAAATAAATAAATAGAAATGGTGTTTAAGATGTGACTGTGTGATTGAAATTAAGTAGGTAAAGAGGATAAAAGTTAAAGAAAAACGAAAAACAAAAAAACCAGATTGTCCAACAAGGACAAACCCAAATCCTGGTGCATTTGAAAATCAGGGGGCGCAGTTTGGGTCTGTTGTGAGACACAAAGGGGCCTGTTAGTGGTTTTGAGTAAGAGCAACATGGTAAAATTAGATTAGAGGAAGTCTAGACAGGATTAGAAAGAGAGGGTCAGGGAAGTAAGGAGGAGGCACCCAGACTAAGGTGGTACTGGGAGGGAATCAAGAGTTCCTGATGCCTATGGCTTGCTAAAAACAAAACAAAACAATAAGGAAAGAAAAAGGGAGCAATTTACATTTATTTATTTGTTTTTTGGTTCTGGGAGTTAAACTCAGGACCTTGCACTCACCAGGCAGGTGCTTCTGCGGCTGAGCTATATCCCCAGCCCTTCATTTTTTAATTCTCCCTATTCATTCAGAGTAGCTTTATGTCATCTCTCTTTTCCTTCTTCCCCATATTATAAATTGTATATCTATATCTATATCTATATCTATATCTATATCTATATCTATATATCTCCCTGGGATACTGAGCCAGTACACTGAGCCAGTGACAGAGTCCGGGAGTGGTGGTGCATGCCTATAATCCCAGTACTTAGGAGGCTGAAAACAGGAGGACCACTACAAATTCAATCTGCGTAGTGAGACCCTGTACCAAATAAACAAAATAAATTTATTACAAAAAATACAGTTGGGTGTGATGGTGCACACCTATAATCCCAGCACTTGGGAGACTGAGGCAAGAAGATTTCTACAAGTTTGAGGGCAGCCTGGCATACATAAGCAAATTTAAGGCCAGCTTGAACATGATGGTACCTGCCCATAATCCTGAATTATGGAAGGCTGAGGCAAGAGAATTGCAAATTAGAGCCCAGCCTGGGGTGATGAAGGGAAGGGAGATGCTGCCTCAAAAAAAAAATTTTTTTTTTTTTTTTTTGGCAAAACCGGAGATTGAACTCAGGCCCTTGTGCTTGCCAGGGAAGTGCTTATTCTACTAAGCCATCTCCCCAGCCCCTCAATTTTTTTCCAAATATTTTATTTTG